CTAGTTCAACCCCTTTCGGTATAGCTTGTTTTTGAAGATGCCTCATGCACCTAGAAAATAAACAAAATGTTTCAAACAATAAGGGAAACCAGTTAAATGTGTCGTGAGACGTAGTATACGGTAAATCACGCAAGATCCTAAGCCTAAATGTGGCATCTTTAAAAGGGTTATATGGGAAAAATTACTTGTCTATTTCTTTGAGGAACATATCATAAGCAGGGAAATATAGGCGGTGGCCCGTAGGAGCAGTTAAAGTCTCGAATGTGAATCTTCCATTGATGATATCCCCAGGGAGCGGAATGAGGGATCCCAAAAACACAAATGCATCTTCTCCTACACTCGGTTCATGATCAGCCTAGACGAAAAATGTGAAAACAGTACCAAAATTTAATCCAAGTTCGGTTGTAAATAGAAAAAGCAAAGACAAATTCATGGGTACGTTTATCAAAGTCGAAACATACGAGAAGGGGCATGATGTCCGAGTAAAAGAGAGAGACGTCGTCTTGTTCCGGTGACAATGTTGCATGAATCCTCTGATCTTCACTCCCCTTTCCTACCGCTTCCTTCAGATACAAGTAAGCGGATTTGTAATAAACCGAAGTCATTAGGGCTTCTAACAGGCTTTCACATTCCTTCGAACTAGAATTCAAAATCAAATTCTGTTCCGGAAATTTAATACAATATATCTCAATATTATAAAAAAAAAAAGGCAATTACCGAATGAGACTCCTCGTCTTCCGAGCCGGGTTTCTCCCACGAAAGCATTATATCGAACGTGAGACGGCTAAACGATCCATCGTTTATTCTTTCTTGGATGTTTTCACACATATGATTCATGGCCTTTGACCCGCAAAATTCGACACACTTCTTCGAGTACGTCCCGCTCATTCCGGGATTCCATGCCCTTTCAAATTCTCCAGCCAATTTGTCCACTGACGTCTTGAGTTCTCTGTATTTCCAAGTTCATATATATATATATTAAAAAATTTCTATAAACTTCCTATCCAATCAAACATTACACGTCTACCAGATAACCGGTACAGAACCGGAGAGGGTATCAAGCATTTTGATTTTCACACACAACGCATATCATGCTAGAAATTCGATATGATCAACGTCCATGACAGTACAATCTGATCAATGTAAACCGGTATAAACCCGGAAATTGAAATGATTTCTTTATAACTCACGTCAATGCTAGAATTCTATGTGATATACGCTCTCATGGTAGTAAACCAATGGAATCAAACCGGTTCAATAACCGGAAGAGGGTTGCGAATGTTGCTCTCCAGAGGGAAAATGACGAAATCGAAAAGGCAATGATCCAACGTTCAATCATCTAATTCATGGATAATTTATCTCAGCGAACAAAAACGCATCAAATTTGTATCACAAAACGAATATATGTATATATATGTGCGTGTGCGAGTGTGTGTGTAGAGAGAGAGAGAGAGATGGAGAGGCAGAGTACAGTGCACATCTCCGGACGACGTCGTTTGCAATGGAGGACAAGTGCTTCCTCTTCATCATCCTTACAGTCGTCGTCTTCTTCTTGGGATCTGAATAAGCTTTTTCTTTGCCTTCGTTTCGTTGTTTCTACCGTTTCTTTTTTCGCCGCTCGAGCCTGTTTCGGCGTCGAGTTGTTGACGAATTCACGAGTTGGCGATGTGACGTGGCCAAATTAAGAGGATGCCACGTGGAAATTTCATGCAAAACATTCAAACGACGTCGTTTCGATTTATTAAACTTTTTGAATTTTGAATTTTGAATTTTCTCGAATTTTAATCGACTACCTCTTGTTCTGGGTACTCTCTCTCTGAACCTCAAAAATATAGAAAGTGTCAAAAAGATCCCTGAATTTCTTCATAATCAAAGATTTGTTCAAAATTTTCTCCGGCCACGGCGAGTGATTCGGACTTGCCTTCCATGGTTCGTCTCAACGGCCGATTCACACGTAATTAATAAGGGTATTAATGTAATTAATAGTATTAGGTTAATATTACTTTTAATTACATATTAATAGTAATTAGGTTGATGATCGCTTAATTACCCACAAATTTGAATTTTTTTTATCATAGATTTTGTTTGGGCCCTCCAAATAGCGGGAAAAGCGATCATTTGTTCCGTATTTTATTTGGATTTGTGAATTCTGTAATCTTAGAAAAACCGACCGATTTTTCGTGTTTATATATCAGAAACAAAAAACAAAAAAAATCGGAAGTTTGAAATTATTAACGTGAATTTATAGTTTAATAAATAGGGAGAGAAACGGGAATCCATGGGAGTTCTCTATTTTTGTTTCTGAAAAAAAATGAAATTTGAATAACTCAATCTATAAGTAATATGTGCACGTAAATGATGGATGATAATCCACCGATTATGGGTTAATTATTTATGTTCTCGATGGAGATCATTATATTTTCGTTATTTCTATTTTTAAAACAATCTTTATTTGTTTTTACTATTTTTATAATTATCTGAATTTAGTTTGATTGTTGTAAAATTACATATGATGAGTTTCTTCTCGATAAATTGAATTGGAGTAATAGAATTAGATATTATTTGAATTATTCTGGTTTGGAAAACTGGATTAAAATATTTACTGTATTAGTAAAGTTTTCACCGACAAATATTAATCTATTTAAAAAAAATGTTGCAGATGGTCAGTTGCATGAATAGAGGCATTTAATGTGAGTGCATGAATCATTGGAGCCCTCCCACGGCTTCTCTCATGTAACGTGGTCGACCATTTAATAATAATAATAATAATAATAATAATAATAATAATAATAATAATAATAATAATAATATTCACATGCATGAATTTGCGTTATCCGAATTTATTCTATTTCCTTTATCCTAAAAACTGAACTTTATACTTTCAACGTTTTATAAAGAAAAATTCCATATTACGTTATGTTTTTGTTTTTTTTGTGTATATACATGTCTTCTGAATTTGCCAAGTTATTTGTGGAGATTTTTTTTTTTAATTGTTGTCTACTTTTATGGGAATATTTAATTCGGAGATCCGACACCAACTACTCATCGTCGTGGTGACGATGATGTTTAGTTTTCATTATGACTTAAAAAAATACTTAATACATTTTGTCCGCTTGAAATTTAAATATATGTTTTTCTTATCTTATATAATACTTAATTTTCTTTTTCTTACTCAAATTGTTTTAACTTATTATTAGAATATTTTGTTATCCAGTAATTACATTACAAAAAAAATTATCTGATATTTTTTATAAATCAGTGATAGAAACGATTTTTTTAAAATAACTAATTTTTAAAATAGTCATATTGGTAAATGATAAATACGACTTCGAATTTATACGACGCACCTATAGGCAATACAAACTTTTAATAAAAAGTCTGCATATTGTGATATCTTATAACTACAGATTTATATATTTTAGGGGAAGCCCCCAACTCTACTGGTTAGTGATCGTCTCTCCCTCGTAAGAGGTTGAGGGTTCGAAATCAGTTGATGCTGAACTTCGCCTTAGCCGATCAGTTTCGGTTGGTTTACCTGTTCTGCGTGGTTTGCCGACTATTGCGTATGACCGGGGGTTTACTGTCGGCATACCGACCGTTCGGTTTTGGGGGAGGCTGGGACGGTTCGGGATCCGGTCCGAAGGGCCGTATAGCGGGTTCCCACCGAAATAAAAAAAAAAGATTTATATATTTTAATTTTTAAACAACGGCTTACAAAAAAAGGGATCACGTAAATTCGATAAATAGATAAAAGAAAATGAGATATTAATTATTTGATACACGACAAAATGAAGTGGCCGACATCCAAAGTCTTATCTAGATCAACTCTTTCGTTTTGGAATATATGACATCTTTCCACCTAAATATGGTATGTATGATTTTTATTTTAAATATAATTTTCCAAATTATTTGATTAATTAAATTTTTAAAAAAATAAACTAATTAATTTTAACTAGATGAATATTAAAATCAATGAACATAAACATTTATGTTATGAGTAATTTTAAATAAAACTAAATATAACTGAAATGTAATATTATATTGATACAATCTTTCAAAAATCTAAATGAAATGAAATTCAAAATATCTAATCATGTTAATATCTAACATGGTTTGTGGATATATTAGATCTTTGATTTAATTACGTGTAATATTATATGTGCAACTTTTCCCGTATTCACGGTCAATGCTAAAACTTTGTATAAATAATTAATGTTTTAGCTTTGGTCGGCAATGTTTACACCTCATTGCCGACACGTAGTTTGACAAATGGGGCAATGGGCATCCATCTCGCGTGAACCGATATATCCTCTTCTTTTTCTTTTTTTTTTTTTAAAAAGAAAATTTTAAAAATAGTTACGATTGCTATAAAAATTACATTCATTTCATATTTATATTAATTTATTTTATTCGAGTTTTAATTGATTTTTTTTTTTAAATTCGGATTTGATTAAATAAATAACTGTCATTTATTTCGGTATCGGGTTAATTTAGTTTTAAAAAAGATATATCTAACCTTTTACAATTAAATTCGAAAAATACGATTATATGCTATTCATTATAATCATATCTGTATCCAAATATGATATCTAATATCAATTAATAAAGAATCAATCTCTCTTAATTTTTGAAAATTTTAAGATAATTTATAGTTATTGACAAACAATAATCCATATTAACATTACGCTTCCAATGAAATAAGAATAGATGGCACAAATACGTTGCTCAAACCCGCTTATATAATCGAAATACGACCGATAATTACAAACCATTAAACTCCAGTGATTTAAAAAACAAACAAATACGAGACTTGAGTAACTTCTACGCGGAAAAAAGTTACCAAACTAATATGGAAAACTAAATAAATTCCGAAAAATTTAAAGCCACATAAATTGAAAATATCAACGAATACACAATAAACTAATATTAAAAAAAAATGAGTTATTGGACGTCATTTTCGGTCATTATCTTCCATCAGGGCCTATAAATGGATAGCCAAGATCCATAGCATTTGCAAACCAAAACCAAACACATCAAAGGGAGAGATAGAGAGAGAAAATGGCAGGAATTATCCACAAAATCGAGGAGAAACTTGGCATGGGAGGAAACAAGGATGGTGAGCACAAGGGTCAGAGTCACGACGAACACAAGAAGCCCGATGAGCACAAGAAGACCGATGAACACAAAGAAGGGATAGTGGACAAGATCAAGGACAAGATCCACGGAGAAGGTCACAGCCAAGACGGCCATGGCGAGGAGAAGAAGAAGAAGAAGAAGGAGAAGAAGCACCACGAGGATGGTCACCACAGCAGCAGCAGCGACAGTGACAGCGATTAGGTTTTACCCGTCTCTATATATTATTTTTTTTTTTAAATCCAAATATAAATTTAGAAGAAAAAAAACCCGTGAAAAAATGTCTAAATTGTGAGAAAACAAAAAAAAATGTTTGTCTTTGGAAGTTTTGGGGCTACAACCTTCTTTCACTCTGAATTTTGAATCTTTTTTTGGCTCAAATTTCAATATTTTAACACATACATTTTACAATAATCCGTATATATACGTACATGCATAAAAACCTTGCTATAATTTAGGATGATCCTGACTCATTTTTTCTCCATATTTTGCAGGTAATGGAGAAGGATGAAGTAAAAATAAAACAGACCTCCTGCTTCTTCTGAGTGTCTGCTTTAATTTCCTACAATGTTGCTTCTGCTGTCTTCCATGTATCTTGTCTTTATGCTATTGTAATGAAAATAAGGTTAACTTTATATCTTTTTAGACATTGACTCTACCACTAAAAAAAACAAAAAAGAAAATATATGTTATTGGAATTAGCTTAAAGACAAATTATCATGCAAATGCACATAACCATGGCAATTCATTCCTAATTCTAGTTTATTTTTCTCCGGTTTTTTATGAGATATAATTGGGTTAAATATTAGATGAATTTTTTAATTATAAAAAAATTGAAAGATATCTTAAGTATTTAAACTCCTCCATACCTTTCAGATGTGTCAAGTATTTCAGTTTTAAAACGATCTTGGACAGACCAGATATTGAATTGGTTTATTAATAATAAAAAAAAACTTTTGGTTTATAAATATAACTATTTGATGTTTCAATATGTCTACATCAATTTAATTATACTAAAAGAAAATCGAAATACTTTAACATTGATATATATAGTGAATCTTCCCAATACATGGATGTTGTTGTTGTTGTGAGATATTTTAGTGTAAATATCATAATCATAAGCTAATCTAAAAGTAAAAAAAAACATCATATAATTTTTTTTTCATAAGTTAGTTTTTTAGATAACTAATTGGAAAGAGCCCGACTCCTTGTAAACACATTTTTTCAATGAATGGACACAACTCTTTATATTGATGTTTATGCGAATATTTCTTTCATTTTTTTTATATTGTTGAATTAAATTTTTTATGATGGTTATTAAAAGAGTAATCTAAATTATTGTGATTTTACTTATCTCAGAAATATAATTTAATACTCTCATTTATTTAAAAACGATGAAATAAAAAAGTAATCACGTCTTGAAATGGTATCTAAATGCCTATGATTTCTAGGGTTTTGCGCATATGTTGAGGGTTTTATCTTTCATTATTGGTAATGGTCCAGGCGATAAGTGAAGATTAGAGTAAGTGAAATAAATTTTGTGAACTAATTTTCAATTATGATATTTATTGAGAAGTAAATGCTCTATAATTCTATTCATATATTAAATTTCAAATTTTCAATCATAATATATATAGCCGTTGAGAAGCCTTTCCCATAGCAAATTGACAAGAAGCTAAATATAGGAGGGAGATGGCGATCCTTCAGTTTCCTTCGTACTCCGCCATTTTCTCTTCTTCCACTTCCCCTGTTCTCTCTCTCGTTGAAGGTAATGGCGATCCTTCAATTTCTCTCTCTCTCTCTCTATCTCTCTCTTCCTCTTATTACTTGTGTTCTTTGGCTCGCTTAGTCCCCACCTGTTTCCTTTTCTCCACGATCAATCTCGTTTCTTTAGATCGTTTTCTCGAGCTTTTCCTTGTTGTTTTCTCATTTTGACCCACCTGCTTGGTAATGTTCTTCGTTAGGTTCTTGGTGGTTTTCTCTCCGTTAGATCGTAGAATTTAATCTGATCCATTGTAATTCTTTCTTTCATGCTCTCTCTGTATTGTTTACACCTCGATTTGAAGTGAGGTGTTCATCTTAGCTTCTGAATCTTTCTTTGTTTGCTTCCTCTGCCCTCAATTGCTTGTCTGACTTGTTAGGTTATTGTCAAATTACTGCCCGATTTGTCAAGATTCGCAATCTAGGGTTCTTTTGAATCTAAATTCAATCTGACCATCTGTTGTCACGTGTTCCCGATCTGGGCGTTCCTCAACAACAACACTTTGACGTTCTTTGTGCAGAATCAACTTTTCTTCAAACCATAAATTAGGAGAACTTAAAACCCTTTTCATCGGACGATCGCACGACAAAAATTGAATTTCTTGATTCTGTAGGAATAAGAAACTAGTTTTTTTTTTCTGATTCGATTACGTTTTGTGCAGAAAAATGGCATCCCACATTGTCGGATACCCACGCATGGGTCCCAAGAGGGAGCTCAAGTTTGCCTTGGAGTCATTCTGGGACGGAAAGAGCAGCGCCGAGGATTTGCAGAAGGCTGCTGCTGAACTCAGGTCCTCCATCTGGAAGCAGATGGCTGACGCCGACATCAAGTACATCCCCAGCAACACGTTTTCTTACTACGACCAGGTGCTCGACACAACCGCCATGCTCGGTGCCGTCCCTCCGAGGTATGGATGGAACGGTGGCGAGATCGGGTTTGATGTTTACTTCTCAATGGCCAGAGGAAATGCCTCTGTCCCTGCTATGGAAATGACCAAGTGGTTCGACACTAACTAGTGAGTGCTGACGATATCTATGTATGTGGTCTTTTCTTTGTTGATGATTATGACTTGTTTTGGTTGCGTAAGTACTTGATTTGATGTGTTGTCACAGCCATTACATTGTTCCCGAGTTGGGTCCGGAGGTAAAATTCTCGTATGCATCTCACAAGGCTGTGACCGAGTACAAGGAAGCTAAGGCGGTATGTTACTTTCCACGTACACAGCAATTAGATAAGTAGTGATGAATCGTTTATGTATAAGGATCTGTGGAAGTGAAATTTAACCTGTGTTTTGTGACCTGAAACAGCTTGGAGTAGATACTGTTCCGGTTCTTGTTGGTCCTGTCTCATACTTGTTGCTTTCGAAACCTGCTAAGGGTGTTGAGAAGTCATTTTCTCTTCTCTCCCTTCTCAACAAAATCCTTCCCATATACCAGTATGACACTAGACTTATCTGTGTTAAAGTTTTGAATTTTAATTCTTGTTTGATTTATTTTAACTTGTGATAACGAGGTATGATTCTTCAGGGAAGTCATCTCGGAGCTCAAGGGAGCTGGTGCTACTTGGATCCAATTTGATGAGCCACAACTTGTTATGGATCTTGATTCTACCAAGCTCAAAGCTTTCACTGATGCATATGCTGAGCTTGAGTCAACACTCTCGGGCTTGAATGTCCTTATCGAGACCTACTTTGCCGATATCCCTGCTGAAACTTACAAGATCCTTACTTCATTAAAGGGTGTGACTGCTTATGGTTTCGATTTGGTCCGTGGAACCAACACACTTGATTTGGTCAAGTCTGGTTTCCCGAAGGACAAGTATCTGTTCGCAGGTGTGGTCGACGGAAGGAACATTTGGGCCAATGACCTTGCATCCTCTCTTAAAACCTTGCAGGAGCTTGAGGGCATTGTAGGTAGGGAAAGGTGCTTTGATATTTATCCATGCTATGTTATTTTTCATGCTAGAATCGGTCGATCCTGAACTGACCTATTTGACTGTTACCTTTGCAGACAAGCTTGTTGTCTCTACCTCATGCTCTCTTCTCCACACAGCTGTTGACCTTATCAACGAGACAAAGCTGGATGACGAAATCAAGTCCTGGCTTGCATTTGCTGCCCAGAAAGTTGTTGAGGTTAACGCTTTGGCTAAGGCTTTGGCTGGCCATAAGGATGAGGTATTCCTCATTGGGAGAAATTTACGTCTTGCCTTTTTGGCGAAATCAGCTTCCTTTTTTACATTAATGTCGCCTTAGTAATAAGCTCTTGCCTTGCATTCTGGCATTCCCTTCTAGGCTTAGGATTTGTTGGGTTGATACATTTTCACTGATTAGCTTCTGTAAATCCTGTTTTTTAGGCCTTCTTCTCTGATAATGCCATGGCTCAGGCTTCAAGGAAATCCTCTCCAAGGGTTACCAACGAGGCTGTTCAAAAGGCTGTAAGTGTTTGTGTGACTTGGAAACTATCCGGTCAAGTGGTGGAATATCTCTTATGGTCGATTGCTGATTCTCGACCATGCTCTTTGTTTTTGTCAGGCTGCTGCTTTGAAGGGCTCTGACCACCGCCGTTCGACAAATGTCAGTGCTAGGCTTGATGCTCAGCAGAAGAAACTGAACCTCCCGATCCTCCCGACGACAACCATTGGGTCTTTCCCTCAGACCGTTGAACTCAGGAGAGTCCGACGTGAATACAAGGCTAAAAAGTGAGTTCTTGTTTTCAAGAACTGTCTTGTTTCGCCTATTCCCGAAAACCGTTACATAATGCCTTTGTCTATGTTGTTTTGGTTTCTTCCCCTAGGATCTCTGAGGAGGATTACATCAAGGCCATTAAGGAGGAGATCAAGAAGGTTGTCGACCTTCAAGAAGACTTGGACATTGACGTTCTTGTCCATGGAGAACCAGAGGTGACCCTTCTTGTTTCCATAAACATCAGAAAGAAAACTAGTTCCGGTCTATTGGTTCGTGATCTAGGTCCATGAATTTTGCTATAATGTGTTGGGTTTGATTCTGCAGAGAAATGATATGGTTGAGTACTTTGGAGAACAACTCTCTGGTTTTGCTTTCACCGTCAATGGTTGGGTGCAATCTTACGGATCTCGGTGCGTGAAGCCACCGGTCATCTACGGTGACGTGAGCCGTCCCAAGCCAATGACGGTCCTCCGGATCGCCTTGGCCATCAAGGATGAAGTGGAGGATCTCGAGAAGGCCGGGATCAACGTGATTCAGATCGACGAAGCCGCTCTTAGAGAAGGGCTGCCGCTCAGGAAATCCGAGCAAGCCTTCTACTTAGACTGGGCTGTCCATTCCTTCAGGATCACCAATGTGGGTGTCCAGGACACGACCCAGGTTCGTGTTTCTTCCCCTTCCCAATATCGGTTTTTGCTCCATTGATATCAATCTTCTCTTCTGAATCCGACCCATCTGCAAAATCCAAACATCAACAGATACACACACACATGTGCTACTCCAACTTCAACGACATCATCCAGTCCATCATAGACATGGACACTGACGTTATCACCATCGAGAACTCACGCTCAGACGAGAAACTCCTGTCTGTGTTCCGAGAGGGCGTGAAGTACGGGGCGGGTATTGGTCCAGGAGTGTACGATATCCACTCTCCGAGGATACCCTCGACGGAGGAAATGGCGGAGAGGATCAACAAAATGCTGGCGGTGTTGGAGAAGAACATACTGTGGGTGAATCCTGATTGTGGTCTCAAGACACGCAAGTACAATGAAGTGAAGCCTGCACTCAAAAACATGGTCGAGGCAACTAAGCTTATCCGCTCTCAGCTTGCTTCTGCCAAGTGAGATTCACATAAACACCATTGAATCTTCGTCTTCTTCTTATTGGTATCATTATAATAATTCGTGATTTTTTTTTTTTCTCTCATGATGATGAGATGAGATGAGATTGTTACGTGCTCTGTTTCAAGGCGATTTCATTTTTGTAATAACTTGACGTAATTTTTGGAGGTATTTATGATGTGTCGGACGACGTCGTTTCAATAAATTGGAAAAATTAGCAAAATCATTTTCCCATCTCCTCCTCCTCACCTCGAAGATCTAACCTGAGTATTCGTCCATTTTGCTACAATGTCCTCCAATGGCGAAGACCCACCACCTGAAACGACACTTTCTTCACCGGCATTTGTCCTCTACGACGTCGTTTTGAGCTGTGTGGCCCGTGTCCCGAGATGTTATCACCCCAACCTTTCTCTCGGTCACTTGTCAAGTCACGTGATCTCCATGCCACGCGAACCTTCCTCGGTCAGACTGAACATTGCCTCTACGTCAGCTTACGCCTCCCCTCCAGACCAAACTCGCCAGTGGTTCACCCTCATCAAGAGACCAAACACAAGTGGAAAATTGCTGGTCCCGGTCCCTGTCCCAGTCTCTCCTCTCGCCACTGGGTCGGCCCCAGTTGTAGTAGTGGGCTTGAAGATCTACGTCATTGCTGTTAAGATGGTGAATTCTTGTCATTCATGCTGCTATATTTTATATTTTGTGAATTATTGAATTTGAATAACATAATCTCTGTGTGAATTTTTTTCCCTTTAGCTCCTCTTCTCTAGCAGGAAAAAAAACTATTGGGACGGATGACGTGGCTATGTTAAATGACGTGGCGCAATCAAGGCAATTTGAAATTAATATAATCACAAATTTGGGAATTTGAGATGAAATCAATACAATTACAATGTATGTATTTTTATGAGATTTTTTTATATATTTTATTAGATGTGTGTGTGTGTATATATATATATGAAAAAAAAATTATTGGACAGTTATTTGTGGGAAAAGTTATTGAATCGATTGGAAACAAATATCAATGCAAATACATTGATTATTATCTTATTGCAATTACAAAACAATATCCAAGGTTTTATTGAAACATTAAATCTCACAAAGGAGACGCCGTGAAATATTCGTAGGCCTTGACCACTCCGAAAATGGCGACCGCCGCCACCACAGCCGCCGCCACGCCCTCCACCGCGGTTTTGTTCCACAGTCTTTGCCTCAATGTGCTAAACCGGCTATAGAATTGGCTCGAACCCCTTGAAGTTGAAGTTTCCTCTGCTGGTTTACTTGAACCGTTCGGTTTAAGACTTAGGGTTTGTGAAATTCGCGCCTTTAGACTCTCGGTATGGGCTTGAGGGTTTGATTTTGGCATTGTCACGTGGAGAATTCCCCTTGAGAACTTTGCACGGATCTCATTTCTCTTGCAAGTCTTCGCCACTTTGAGCTCTTTCCTAAACCGGACCGTTTTGGTTTGTTCCACCGGACATTCTCCGGTTATCGTCAGTATACCAAGATTATTGACCTGTATCTTCAGGTGCTGCTTTTTTGAACCTATGTGGTGGGAAAATCGGGACATATACTGCGCATCCGAATATTCTGAGATGCGATATATTAGGTTCTTGACCAAATGCTAATTATAATGGAGAATACTTATGATATGCACTTGGTCTGAAACGAATCAGTGATGCATCATACAAAATAACATGACTCCAGATAGAAATGGGTAATTTTGTTTTCATTATCAATGGTCTGGCAATAAGCTGGAGTCATTTGATTAATGACTCTGCCAATCCATTCTGTGTATGAACGTGTGCTACTGGGTGTTCAACATCAATACCCATTGCAACACAGTAATCATCAAAAGCTTGTGATGTAAATTCTCCAGCATTATCAGACCCCACTTTCTTGATCGGGTACTCTGGGAACTGTGCCCTTAGTTTAATTATTTGGGCTAAGAATCAGGCAAATGCCAGATTACGCGATGATAAAAGGCATACATGTGACCATCTGCTTGAAGCATCAATTAATATCATAAAATATCGAAATGGTTCGCATGGTGGATGAATGGATCCACAGATATCACCATGAATTCTTTCTAAAAATGATGATGATTCATACCCAATTTTAACTTGTGATGGTTTAATTATTAATTTCCCTTTAGAACATGCATCACAAGAAAGCTCATCTGATTGAAAAATCTTCTAGTTTTTCAGTGGATGACCATGAGAGTTTTTGATAATTTTTCTCATCATAATGGCACCAAGATGACCCAATCGATCATGTCAAACGTTGAACGTATCAGCAAACTTCTGGTTTACTATGACATGTGATTCAATCACATTGATATTAGTATAATATAATCCCGATGATAGAGTGAGTAATTTTTCCAACAGATACTTTTGTCCCGAATTGATTGAGGTGATATATAAATACTCAGTATCATCATCATTCATGGTTTCAATATGATATCCATTTTGTCGGATATCTTTAAAACTCAATAAATTTCTTTGGGACTTGGAGGAAAATAAGACATATTTTACTGTAAATTTTGTTCCTCCTGGCATAATGAAATCAGCTCTTTCAGAGCCTTTGATTATTTTTGCATTTCCAGATATAGTAGTAATATTTCCTTTGTTTATTCTCAGATTCGAGAAATATTTTTTGTCTTTCAGTACAGTATGTGTTGTAACACTATTTTCCAAACATATATCTCCTCTCCGTCCACAGTTTTGGCCATATTCGTTTGGGAATATATCAAATATACCCTTAAAATGCTACCTTTACTTTATAGCCTACCCTCCAAAAAATAAATAAAAAAAACTAAAAGCTAAAATGAGTTAAACACATATATATCCCTGGATTTTAAGAGAAAGACGAAAAGGACCATGCTTTTTCAATTAAAAAACAGCTAAATTTTTAAGAATTAAAAAAAAAAAGAAACTACTTTCTCTCTCTCCCTTGGTAAACTCCCACTCTCCTACTATCTCTTCTGTCGAACTCTCTCTCCTTCAGCATTTCGAAAATCTCTCTCTCTTGCTCGATTTCTCTCTTTCAATTTTCAGAAACTGATGTCATTTTCCTTGCAATTTCGGTATCTCTTTTACGATTTTGTGTGAAAAATAAAACACCATGGATCCAAGAACACATGTGCCTTCTGCTTCATCTTCGTCTGTGTCTCAGGCTAATTCATCTTCGTCATCGTCGGACAAAGATCTCCCATTAGAAACGGTAGGTTTTTTTGCACCTTCTTCTCTGTTTTTTTCTTCTGTGACCTGATCCTGGAATAAAATTACTAAACTTGTTGGATGGTTTGATATTTCAAAATAGGAATTTAGAGTTTAGGACTTTCGAAATTGAAAATTAGATTTTTGGGATTTCTGAATATAAAGTTACGGTTTTTTTGTTTTGAAATATATAATTTGGTTTTAGGAATTCGAAATAGAAAGTTAGGGTGTGGGTGTGGGATTTCGGAATACCTTGGCAAGTTTAATGATTTTCTAAGTCGCAAGGTCATGTGGGTCACAGGTCATATGGGTAACAGAGATTTATATGGTAATAGTATAATATAACTCACAACACCGCACACGAATCACACGGGTCACGGGTCACAGGTCACATGGGTCACGGGTCACATGGGTCATATCAGCCACAGGTCCCTGGTCCCAGGTCACAAAGATCACAATGACGAACAATTATTTTATTTTGCAGCTTCCATTTGTCTACAAATTCGAAGACATTCAGTTTTCTTCGAAGATCAATGCGAAGTGTTGTCCCTATGAGACGCTGAAGACGCTTAAACAAGTACTAACACAGGATGAATGGACGTACTTCGAGAAAGAATCACAATTCCAACATCTATTCCACGCATAATGGGAACCACAGTTAAAGATGCGCCTGCGGGTGTTCTCATTAACCGCTCTGTTAAAGCATAAGATGAGAAAGAGTTGTGGTTCATGCTCAATGGTGTGCCCGTGAGGTATTCGATCATTGAGCATGCACTTATATCTGGTTTGAACAAGGGAGCAGAATTCATGTCGATATGCGATGGGACCATACCACTGATCCGTGAAAAATTGGCTATCGATATATTTTGTAATGGTAAAATTGTGTACAACTAATTGAAATATGAATATGCATCGATTCTAATTGCTAATAAAAAAAAAATTACAGAATTAAAATAGGATTTAGGAGAACTTCTTCATCCAATTATATATTGGGTAAAAAACTTATGAAAAAAATTTAATTTGTTACAAAACATCGATTTTAAAATTCTGGTAATTTCGTTAAAAACATAAAGAAGAAATTTTGGACCAACCAACCTTGTGGAAGGTGGACCTCAAGAATGTCGATTTCTTCGAACCGCTGCCATCGACAAAAGGGTTCGATTTCTTCATAAAACTCGGTGGGCCCACTTCCCGAATTGGCTGCCAATGCCATTATGTTTACAAATTTGTGAAATATTTTTTTTTTCTCTTTTAGATTTTTGGAACGAATGGATGGATGGACCGACCGTTCATATTGTTCTGTTTTTATACTCTCTTTCTCATTAAGAGGTTTCTTTTGGCTTTCTTTCTTTTTCCGTTTGTTTTTTTCACGTAAAATTTAGGTGTTTCATTGTACAGTTGAATCAAATAACATCTGAAAATTAGTATAATGATTTTTTAAAATCGATTAACCGATATAAAAAATCATATATCTGATCAGTTTGAAAGGGTTATTCGAATTCAAATTCAAAATCTGAATTACTTGTTATAATATAAAAGTTTTCACTTGTTATAATATACTTATATATACACGCTTTGATCTAAAATGATAACTTTAAAATCGTTATAACTATTCGATTTTTATGTAGGATTTTAATTCGATTAATTCGGATTCATAAAAATATCTAATTGGAAACAATTTTTTTTGCTTCGATTTTTCATTTATGTTATATCCAATTCGCATAAAAAAAAAAAAGTTTAAAACCATATATCCGATCAGTTTTTATACATGAGATAAGTGGGAGGTTACATAATTATGATCGAAATCTGTTTTCTTCATGAAGACGATATACATTCAAACACAACAAGAGGAAATAATTACATTATAACTCGAATATATAAACGCATATATAAAAGACAAAACTAGTAGCTAATTAAGAAAATGAGAGAAGACGTTTTGGTTTCAATTAGAGGCCAAAGCAAGGAGAAAGTCTTTGTAGAAACCACAGTGAATATTCTCAGAAATCGAATCTTTTAACCCAACACCGTATTTCCTTGTGAATTCTCTCTTGATATCACCCATGTCTATGTCTCCCCTGCTCACCATGGTCCGTGTTACATCTGCTTTCTTGTTGTCGAATCCTCTTATGCTCCCGTGCAGCTCCTTCACAATTGAAAATGCTTCAACGGATCAAATTCATGTGGTTATAACAATTTCAATTCAAGAAAAATATTTTCAATATACATATATATTACAGCCTCCTTAAATTCCGTATGATTTTCCTTCTTCAGCCACTTTTAAGTGCAAGAGACACCAAAACCAAAAGAGACAAACATTTTAGTCCTTAATGAAATGTTCATAATATTTATTTACTCATTTTTTTTAAAATTAATAAAATAACACCAATTGAATGTTAAAAATATTAACCCTTTCCAAATCACTATTCTAATCCTAATTTGATTACAAACAAAAAATTGTCAACTTTTGTATCTTTTATTTTGCTTGGAAAAGGTATGGAATATATATATTCTTCGGCTGCCCAAATGGGAAAGCCCACCAAACGCTTTCCTTGTAGACTACCACGATGCCGCATGACACACTGACACTCGTGTTCCAAACCCCGAAAGGAGTATCCGTGCCACGTCAGCAAAAAAGGCTCACGTGGGATAAGAAAACGCGACGTGAAATTTCCACGTACTCGTCATCATGGTTGGGCGGACCGTTTAAAACGTCGGTGGTGGGCTTATTTAGCCCATTCGATAATCCTATAGTTATTAATACAACAACACACTATATATATACCTAGGTTGTCTTGTCGTTTTCTCTTTCAAAATCAACCTTGGTAGGTATAGCTATTAATTTCAAATGTATATTAACGATCTAATTTTCAACTGATAATGGTTAATATATATATATATATGTATGTATGTATTCACCTGAGCATAACCATGTCCGTAGATGTGTTTGTAGAAGGAGAAGTTGAGTTTTAGCTGAGGAATGCTTCGTTTGGTGAAGATCTCCACCACGACGGCTTCGTCTACGGCTCCTCTTCTTCCTTCCCCGCTCTCGTAGAGCCTCTTCGCGTCGCATTTCGCTATGTGTTCGCTCACTTCCGCTTCGTGGCCCTTGTGAGAAGCTGCCAGTGCCAGTAGAATCTGTAGGAAGAATTTTACACGATTGCACGTAAAATCGGTTAGCATTAACCGGAGAGAAAACCGAACTGAACTGGAGTTAGATTTTGGCTTCGATGAGGTCCAGATGACTCAATTGCTATTGAAAATATCAACCGAACCGAGAGAGAGCCGGTTAATGATGCTTTCTACTTCTGGAAACGAAATCAATGGTTTTCGATTTAGAAAACGAAAACCCTTTAATTTTTTCCGCAAAATAAAAAATGGGTAAGCTTCAAAATCTCGCCTTTTGATAAGGGTGTGGAGGTTCAATGTTGACGATGTCTTGATCAATGTTCCTCTTGTACCGTTCTTGATACACTTGTCTGATCATATCGATATGATTCGATTTCCGACCCGAGAATATCTCTACGAGGGCCTTGAAATCGATATCTCCGGCTCGGTCAAGGGCCTCTCGGGCTATCACGGCGTCACGGGCGTGTGGTTCAAGCATCCACAGCCACAATGCATGCGAGATCGTGTCATCTTCCCTGTTCTTTTGAAGGAGAAGAACGTTTGCCAAATCTTGACCGTACATTTTCTTGTAGGTGTCTCGGATCTGCTTGCGTTCGATCTTCGTTCTCGCGGCCAAAGATCGAATCAAATCGGCTTTTCTTCCGCAAGATTCGTGGATCTCTCTGCATTCTCTCTCGAAGGAAGCCATGGCAGATGAAGACGAGTCTACCAAAAGGTAATGCACTTCCATGACTTTGTGCTAGGACAAAGTGGAGATGACTTGGAAAGCAAGAACGGAATCTTTTCCCTTTTTGTACCTTTGTTTGTTATATAGCCTCATATGCAAAATCTTAATATTTACACGGAATTTGTAATTTAAAACGATATATATTTATAATAATTTTGAATATTATTTCACACAAAACTTGCTATTATGCGAGGTTCATGTTATTAAAATTTTTTTGAAATGACATTGCATAATTCGTTTGGTTATGAAACTATTTCTATGGCATCGTTGGACAATATTAATTAATTGGGCCATGAAATTAAATTATCTCGTAAAATAAACAAATTATTTTATTTAGAAAAAAATATCAGTATTATCGTCAAGAATATGTAACTTGAGTATAAAACAAGTTTAACAGTTTTAGGTATGCAATAACCTGAATAAATTAATAATTATAATTTTCTTGGAATTTGAAAGTCTTCCAAAGCGAGTAATGATGCTAAAATTGAGAAAAAAGGTTGTAATATATATATATATATATATATATGTATATATATATATATATAATAAAATAAAATGTGTAATGCATAGAAGAGAGAGACGTACTTTTGGGTGGAATTTGAAAAGGGTCTATCGTCCATGTGACATATTTTTTGTTTGGTAGCGACAAGCTTCAATGGATTTCCAACTAGACTATGAATGTACGTAGCATTTCTCTTCTCTTTTTCATCAAACTTTTTGTATACCCGTCCCTTTAAAATAATATTTCTTTTCTAGATATCTAAAAACAATAATTTTCAACGGGTACAAAAAAATCGAATTTTCAAACTATATGTTTTTAATTTTAAAACTATTTTATGAATATATATTTGGAGAGAAATAAAGATATTTTACTTTATAAAAACTAACAATATTTTAAATATTTTTTTCTTATATTTTAATACAGATATTTTAGATAATTTCTACCTAAATGGGATTTTTTTTATTATCATTTCTCATCATGTAAATTAATATTTCAGATTTTCTCTTTTTATAGTATCTGGATTTTCGTTTTATGTGTTTTATAATCCTAATATGCTTTATTTCTTTTCTCACCTTACAAAATTTGGGCCTTATTTGGACCTTCTTCATGTTTGGCCCATTAATTCATGGGCTCATATTTGCTCAAGGCTCTCAGCCCACTTACCTGGCTGGAAGTTTTTAATTTAATATCTTTGTATTAGAAATACTGTATCTTTTTTTTCATATTACATTTGGATTTGTATGGAACTCAATTCGGTTTAAATTCAGTTTTATTAAAAATATTTATTTAAAAATAGTTAACTTAAAAAATATTTATTATTTTTTTATGTAATTCGTATTCATTAATTTAAAATTTTCCTCTAATATAATTCCAGATATCTGTCCTTTTTTAAACATTATGGTTTCGACAGACATAAATTTCCCTTTTTCCTGTAATAATTAAATTTGGACATTTCATGTGGTCTGCCACGGTTCAAATGCTATATGATGACATTTGAACAGTTTTTCATTTCATTAAAAGTGCCCCTTTTATTAGAAACCCTAATTATAAAATAACATCACATAAACTTTTTCAACGGTAACATCCTTTTTTTTCCCCTATTTTTTTATTATCTTCGTTGCTTCACATAATCACAAAATTTTTATTTAACCGTAAGAAATAATTTAGTATGAACATGTGCAATTGTTTTTAAAAAATGAAATAAATACATCACCTAATATGTCCACGTCCGCTCCTAGTCGGCTACCCTATGTTCAAAGACGATGGACGGTTGACCCAAGTCAAAGAATCACCGGTGACCGTGGGACTATTTAAATTACAATTTTACCCTTATCCTGCTTTGGATATCACATAACTGTCCTTATGTCGCGCAAAGAGTGTTAATGTATTCTAAGAGTACACTCTACAAATGGTAAAAATCGATGGTTCACGTCAAGCCAAAAAAAATAATTTATGCAATTAAATAATTTGATTTTATATTAAAAATGAATGTTAAATCTCTTTAACTTCATCCACTCCAATATGAAAAAAAAGTTGAAGTTCTGGACACTAATTTTGAAAGGAAGGTTAGTTTAGAAAATAGAAATATAAATGAGGGGTAAAATAGGAAAGAAGATATAAAAGATAGAAAAACAATATGCCAGAGATAATACTCATGTAAAGCTGGACAGAGAGATATCGCTCTATACAAATTAAAATCATTCTCTCTCCTCTCTCTCTCTCTCTCCATTTGAGTTGAAGAATGGACACTAATTTTGAAAGGAAGGTTAGTTTAGAAAATAGAAATATAAATGAGGGGTAAAATAGGAAAGAAGATATAAAAGATAGAAAAACAATATGCCAGAGATAATACTCATGTAAAGCTGGACAGAGAGATATCGCTCTATACAAATTAAAATCATTCTCTCTCCTCTCTCTCTCTCTCTCCATTTGAGTTGAAGAATCGAAGCCAATTCTTCTTCTACAATGCAGGTAAGCTTCACTTTGCTTGATACCCAAGTAAGAAAGACGATGAATTTCATGTCAATTCAATTTTTTGTAGCTGAGTGATTTGGGTAACTGACATTTTTTTTGAAAAATTGTTTCCAGACGAGAACTGTTCAAGTAAAGAGCGTTTCAGATCTAGCAACCGAGAGAGAGATTCACGAGTTTTTCTCCTTTTCAGGCGACATCGAACACATTGAGATCCAATCCATGGGTAAGATTTTCTTCCCCTGGGTTCGTGGTAGATTTTCATGGCTTTGCTATGTTGTTTACGTTTTTGCTCTTTCGCTGAATTTGTTGTTGCTTTTGCGAGTATTTGCTAATTTTATGGGTTGTGGTAGAAATTTGAGGTTAATCCAATTGTTTGTGATGTTGGGATTTTGTGTGCAGAGAAGCTGGGAGGTCCAGAATCGCATATGTTACGTTTAAAGACCCTAAAGCTCTTGAAATCGCGTTATTGTTATCGGTATATGACTTTTATTTCATTGTCTTCCTTTGTTATATATTGCCTAATCTAAGAATGCTCTTTTACTTCCAAGCTCATTACAATTGATTTTAGACTCAAGATTTGTAGGGTTCTTGGAAGCATTTTTGTTCGTCGAATTGATTGTGTTAGAACTGAAGGTGGACACTGAAATTGGGTGATTATTTGGTAGCTTTTGTTTAATTATATTGGGACATGGGAGAACAAGAAGATTCTGTCTGATTTGTTTTTGTAAATGGGATGAAGCTATCTGTGTTTAGTTGAATTTGGGTGACTTGTTTAGTGATCGTTGTCCAGTTCGATATGTTTTGCTCAAATCGGGTGAATTCTGAAACACACAATGACTGAAATGTTCTCTTCCAAAACGTCTGGGGAGCGAGGGAATTCTAGTTGATGGATAGTTGCTGGAGATATTGATAAATGATCTGTTCGAGTACAGTGAATGCGATGCATATAGGTGATTATGGTTGGCATATCTGCCTGTCCTTTTATTTGTTTCGAGTGCTGAGGGGATATAGAACTAAGCTATGAAGGTTCATCTTGTTGATGTTCTTTGCAGTAATATTCCACAGCATTCTGAATAAGTTACTTTGTTGATGCAGGGAGCGACAATAATAGACCGTATTGTTACAATAGCTCCTGATGAATCCTTTTTTAGGAATCATTTGATAAAATTTAAAGGGATTTGTACCGTCCAAGCTTATTTTCTTGGCAGTTGTCTGAAGCAGGCAGGGCTTGGATAACAGCTAAAAAGATCATTTTATAAGAACTGCTCCCGTTTTATTTTATACAAATTTGGCAGGAAAGGTTGAGTGGCTATTTCCGGAAAAAAAAAATTTTGAACAGAGTTTTTAAAGCCTCTAGTCAGTAGAAATCTCCTGAGGTAGAAGAGTAAAGCAGATCGCTCCTTTTATAAAATGGTCTCATTTACAGTAACATCTTCTAGAAATTATATACCAACTTTTCTGTGGGATGATTTTCAAAATGCTTTCCTCTCATATGAATGTGTTGAATAATCACTCTTGGCAGCCAAAAACGTCCATTGACGGCTCTGGTCGAGCATATGTCAGCAAAGCACAAGATGTGGTAGCAACTGTTTTGGCAAAAGGTTCTGCACTCAGACAAGATGCAGTGAACAAAGCAAAGGAGTTCGATGAAAAGCACAGATTAACAGCCAGTGCTTCGGCTAAAGTCATGTCCTTTGACAAGAGAGTTCGACTTACAGAGAAATTGACGGTCGGGATTTCAGCTGTTAATGAGAAAGTAAAATCTGTTGATCAAAGGCTTCAAGTCTCCGATAAAACCATGGCAGCAATATTTGCAGCAGAGAAGAAATTAAATGACACGGGTTCAGCTGTCAAATCAAGCAGGTCTGAAATTCTTTCCTCTGATTTTCTCTTGGAACATAAATTGCTTTTCATCACACATTTTAGTTACCAATTAACCATCTTTCGGAATGCAGGGGGGTTTATCATCCCTTGATCATTAACCACCTCAATATACTTGCACCACCTAAAATATCTGAACTTTTTCATGCCAATCGATATTTTAATAACTCTGAAATGTGATTTTCAGTCCATTGTAGTTGGAAAAATGTGGCCTTTTCGCAAAGTTTAAACATCATGCAGTTTTGTCTTGAGTAGAGATTATAAATTCCATGAATTCATGTATTCACTTCTGTTGACAAGATAAGCCTTTTTTTTTCATCGCAACTACAATTGGCTCTACTCTATCGGATGGTGACAATCGACGAAATATTATCTGGTTGAAGAATTCTGATTTTTCGCTTCTGCATCTGTACAGATATGTTACCGCAGGAGCTGCATGGTTCAGTGGTGCTTTCAGCAAAGTAGCGAGAGCAGGTCAGGTTGCGGGGACAAAAACCAGAGATAAATTCAATCTAGCTATCTCAA